AAATTTGAATTTCTCCTTTTTAAAATTATAATTTGTTCAAATATATATATGTCATCATATGATATATATATATATAATATAAATAAGAAAATAGATCCAAAGGTTCGAATTTCTCCTTCCAAAAATTATAATCTGTGCACATATATATTTATATGTTGTCGTATGATATATATAAATTAAAAATAAAAACAAAAAAAATAGAAATTAGAAACTAGATCCAAAGGTAAGGGAGAAGAATTCAGCCGAGTAAATCTCAAAATAATGCACCTTACATCAAATTGGACATCATATATAATCGCACTAGCTATCACCTTTAAAAAAAAGTCTTTGATGTATCCTCTTGTTCAATTCCTTTCCATCCATATGTGGTCCTCTATACATTCCATGCTAACTTAACGAGAGTATTCCGCAAAGAATTTCTCTCCATGTGTGGTCCTCGATCTGTTACATTCCAATTCCATGTCAAATTAACAAGGGTATTTTGCAAAGGCTTTCTGCTGATCCTTTTCCAATCCTTTTTCCCATCCAATGCAATAGACCCTGCCATAGACATGGACGGATTTTGCCATAAAAAGTTTTACATTATGCACCAATGGCCATGTTGTTAATATTAAATTCCTTAAAAGTCATGCATTATTATTTTTTTTTTAGTTTATATTTTCATTTCTTTGATTTTATTAATATCCATTAATAATACATAGTAATTTATTAATAATTTTTATTTCTAAAATCATGTATAAAGTATTTATTGTAATAAATAAAAAATAAAATAAGAGAACAATATTGTTAAAACAGATTCTTACAATATATTTTTTTTTTTGATAAAAAAATGATTAGCTTAAGTGTTAGTATCTGTTGCTATTAGGAAAAATTGAATTTTTAAGTGTTGGTACATTTCACCTACTGCCCAATAATTTGATCACCATTGGACCACATGAGAATTGCATTTCTTACCATATGTTTAAATTGAAAGTAATAGTGGAAAGAGAAAAAAAAGTATTTATTTAGTTATTAAAAAAAATTAAAGGGAAGGGGAGCAGACGTTTTTCTTTTACTTTATTTTTTTAATTTAATTATCTATGTAAAAAGAAAAAAAGAGGAAAATGAAAAGAAATAGAAAGATATAATTCTCATTCTCTCTCCTCCATTTCCCTCCACCCAAATATAAAGTTACTTTTCCCATCTTGAGTATGTGCATTCACACTACAGTTTACATCTATTTACTGTACTCTACATAGACAACCCTTCAAAAATACAAGAATAACATATAACAAAATCAATACAACGCCTCAAAGTTCTTTGATGTCATATTGAATAAGTTTTTCCCATTATATTTCTGATGTTTGAGCTCGAGACCTCTTGGAAGAGTTAAAGAGAACACTTTAAAGCCTCAAAGACAGGTCAAGTTGATTGAACTCTTCCTGAACATTTCCTGGCATGTAATCCTTGGAGTTGGACCAAGAAGCATAGTTGTTTTCTCTCTGGATGTTACTCATTCCACCATCAAATCTTCTGCTTGAGCCACTTGACCGTCCTCCATGAGCTTGGACTGCTAAGCCTAGTTCTTTGCTATTCTGGGCTAGAGTTCGCTCAAGCTTATGAGCATTTTGGTGCCCTCCTAGTGCCCGTGAACTATAAAACTTCCTCTTGCAAAAGTTACAAGA